TGGATTTGCCGTTTGCCACGTCAAAGACAATTTAACGCCATCCAATTTTAGGGGGGTAAATAGTAACTAATTTCAAAAAACTATAAGGACTAAAAGCCATCAAAGTTTCAAGTAGGGACTAAATCCAAAATCGTGTGATACTTAAGGGACGAAAAACATATTTAACCCAAAAAAATTCTTTGCTTAATTTTCTATTCAACATTGAAGGGATTTGTGATGAAAGTGTGATAATAATTTCTTTTAAAATAAAATTATTTTTAATATAAACAATATAAATAAAAATAATAATAATTGTCTAATTTTATCAATTAAAACATTTTTTATCTATTAAATTCCTTACATCATTTATTAATTTTCATAAACTTTATTTCATTTTATCTCACCAAAACCAAACAACTTTTCTTACAATGAAAAACATAAATTGCTATCTAAATTGTTTTTTATGTGAAGACAATACTCTTTTAACTATTTTAATTAGCCAATTGAAATAATTGTTATATTAATCTGTTAGTGAATAAATTGTCTAACATAATCGTAAGGTGTGGTTAATTAATCCACACAAGTAACAAATTGAAAAAAAGTTATTATAAGATTTTTTTAAAAAAATTTTCAAACAAATATTTATAATTTGCTAAAAATCGACTTTTCATTGCCTCCTTGCAATTCTCATGCTACACTATATAAAATCTTTTTATTCTGCTTCTTTATTATTTATCATTTGAAATCCTCACTGGTGGAGGTAGATGATCAAGTTACATCATGAAGGCATCTTTTATGATTTGAAAATGATCACATTTTCTTAACCTTAACCACTCTCTATGAATTGTACTAATATTTTAAAATTTAAGCAAATTTAGGAACAATGCAGACATGATGTAAGGAAAAATAATGTATAACAGACCTATTGTTTAATAAGAAGTTAATTATAAACAAAATAATACTTTTTATAACATGATATAATATTATTGTACCTATGACGATTTGGTTAACTCAAACTGAATGGATACAATTAAAAATACAACAAAAATAATCATGATGATCACTTCTGAGATCTAGCGATTGTAACCTATAGACCAAATGGTCATCTTTAAGGATGATTATACTTGATGGTGATTAACTTACAATAAAACATTATTAGTAGCAATTGGGTCATGATTAGATCCTCAGTAATCTAAAATCCATTCAAAAATATATAAATATAGATTTGAGATAAAGAGGTGAGTAATTGTATTTATTACGTATTATCTACTCAAATTGTCATATTTTTACTGACTTTGGTATTGAAGTATCTTCTATAGATAATTTTTGAAATTGACCAAGAGATTGAAGAACAAATAATGACAAATACTAACATCAAGACATCCAGCTCCTAGTAAAAGTGAACCTCGATTCTATGACTGAAACAATTACATTTATTGAATAATTAAGGAAAAAAATATAAACATGTATACCAAATTTTAATTTATATAGTGTTGTATTGAAATTGAAATTTATAAGCTTCAATTTAGAAATATATACTGAAATTTTTTGTGATTAACAAATGTAATAAGATGGTTACTTAAATGTAATGTAAGTATTAGCATTTAAGAAAAAGTTAAAAAGAAAAAACAGACTGTTTGAGAGCTGCTTGATGTGAAAGAAAGGAAACAAATTAACTTTTTCCCTTTAATTTCATATTGAACGAAATATTTTAAAAAATTATTTATCATTAATATTTTGAGAATTTCTCAGTTTCTTATCACTTTGAATTGGATAATTTTATATCTTTAACTATTAATATTTCGGTATTTTTATTTCACAAATAATAAAAAATAATATAAAACATTAATCATAAATCTAAATATAACTTATATATTAAAGTTATTTATTGATCATAAATTTAGTTATATAAAACAAACATTTTTAAACATCTAAAATTGACATTTGAAGAATTTGAATTCTCCCATAATTTTTCTATATTGTCCTTCTGTTAAGAATTTAGAAAACACTAATTTAACATTTTAAAATATTTTAAGTCTTTTTAATATAGGTTAAATATGTTTTTAGTCTTTAAATTATCAGTGAATTTGTTTTTAGTCCCTCTTTCAAAATAAGCTACATTTTGATCATTCTCCAGGAAACCATAATTTTTTGTCCTCTAAAAAGCCGGTTTTAAAAAGAAGTGAGCTGGTAATGGCGGTGGAGTCATGTCAATTTTTTTTCTATCCACTCCTGTCATGTAGCATCTCATCAACCCTTCTCCCAGAACCCTAAGTTCCCTCAGCCGAAGCCGCCGGTTCGTTTCAAACGTCGCACTGACACACACAATGCCACCTAACGGGGATACATACAGAGGAGCGCTTCGGTGGATCAGGCGCCATGTGGACGATCCCCGTGGCCCAGAATCACCACCCGCGCCCCCAACCAAAACACAGGCCCAGGGCCCCACCCCCCAACCCCCGACCCCGGCGCGCGCCCTCCCCCTTAGCCCGCAGGGGATAAGTAAGTAAGTAGGAGTTGTAAGTGTAGGAAAACAACTGCTGAGAGGAATTTCGTTCCCGGTAGTAGCACGTTGGAATGGAGTACCTTGATGGAGGTTTGCCTTGCAGGGTTATAGGGTATAGCGTCGCCAACGAGGCACAAGGAAAAAGAGCGGCTGGAGGAGGTGGTGAGGCCTCAGATTTAGTGGGGGACTTGCAACGAAGCAAGGCTAAAAACGAGATGAGTTAGAGTTCTGTTTTCTGGTTTGATTTGGAGTTTTTAGGTTGTTTGGTATAGGAGTGAGATTGTTCGGGTTTTGCTTGCAAAGAGTGGATTCAAAGGGAAGGTAGAAACAGTCGGCGAAGGAGAAAGTCGCGAGGAGCTTCACCGTTTGGATGTTCGACGGCGTTGCTTGCGGCGTTGCGATTCTGATGGTTATGGCTGTGGCGGCTCGCGACGACGGCGAATGGTTGCTCATGGTGGTGATATGATGCGAGCTTGGAGGATGACGAGGTTTTGATGACAACCTCGCGATGATGAAGGGAGAGTGGTGGCGGAGAGATTGAACTCCTAATGTTACTGCTCGCGTTGGGTGGTGGCGTGATGAGGTTGCCCGCGTCTGGGTGTTGATGGTGGAGGTGCGTGATGGAGGATGGCAGCAACTAGGGTTTCTGCGGCGGCGGCTTCACGACGACATGGTGGCTAGCAAACGCGTCATTGTGTTGGCAATGCGGCATTGATGGCGGCTTGCGGCTAAGGGAAATTAGGGTTATGTGGAGAAGGGTTAAAGGAGGTGCTGACAAGTGACAGAAAAAAAATTAACGTGACACTCCACCGTTAGCCAGCTCAGCTTCCTTTTAACGCCGTTGGTTTTGGAGGACGAAAAATTATGATTTCCTTCTTACGGAGAAGAATCAAAATGTAACTTACTTTGGAAGAGGGAGTAAAAACAAATTCAGTTGATAGTTTAAGGATTAAAAATTTAATCTGTAAGATATCCCACAAAGGCACAATAGATTTTAAAAAACTGTAAGAAAGGGCAATACAGCAACTGATAAAGAGACATCTGAACAATCTTAGTTGATTCACATCATTAAAAAAAAAAAAACATAGGGTAGTATACATAAGAAAATCAATAACTATCCGTTATATAATAATCATTGCATGCTTATAGATATATTATAGATAGTAATGAGTTTGTTTATAAAGCTATATATAGATATAGAGGATACTAGTATATAGAATATATATGTAAACTTAAATATAATTTTGCTCTCTGATTTCGTCTATTTTATTCAATTTGATTTCTTTTATTGATTTTTGTTAATTTTCATTAAGATATCATTTTTTTGGTAATAAAGTTTAAATAATTAATGAAAGGTTAACATTGTACACCACATGTTAGCTTGTGTTTTCTTTTTAAGTATATTTTATTTTATTTTACTCTTTCAAATTGTTTTTAATTAAAAAAAATCCACTTCCCAAAGTCAACATTGTGTTAAGTTAGTGTTACTGTGATGTGTAAAGAGAATATCAATGTTACTTCTCAATATTTTATATTAATTGAGTCTTCATTTTTCTTAATATTATTTAATATAGTTACAATTTTCATTAATTTAATTTAATTTGTTCCAATTTTTTTCATTTGAGACTAAATTTATTTTTTATATAAATATTATACTAAATTTTTTTATTAAAACTTATATTTTTATTAAAAATATTAATTATTAACCCTAATTATATTATTGAAAAGAAATATTATATTTATGTTTAATTTTTGTTTCATGTAAAAGACAGGATTATAATAAGTTTAAAATTAAAAGGAAATTTTTAAATCAACTATAAACCTATATTTTTTTATGGAGAAAAATCAAACATAAATATAATAATTTCCTTCTAATAATATAATTATAATTGGTTTAAAAATAATGAAATCAATATTAAATAAAATTGTGATTTTTAATAAAAAGTTTTAGTATAAAATTTATATAGAAATTAAATTTGATCAGAATGACAAAATTATGATTGAATTAAGCAAATTATAGAATGATTATAATAAATTGAATAAAATTAACAAAAACTAAATCCGACCATAAGACATTAACTAATACATGACATTAATATTGACTTGAGACAAAACAATAATATTGATTTAACATAAAATAATGATAATAACTTGACACATAATATTTATTAACTTAGCACATAAATAACTTTTTTCTAAAATAAAAATAATAATACACAAACTAACCCTTAATATATATTTTTCACCTTCCATTAACTATTTAAGTGTGGTTATAAAAATATTAAATTGATAAAAATTAAAAATTTAACATAAAAAAATCAAATTAAACTGGACAAAAATAGAAGTAAAATTATATTTAATTTGACAAAAATGAGTTCCATTTATTTAAATGAAAAGATAAAGTAAAAATGCCAAATAAGTCTAATCCCTCTCAAAATAATTTTTTTCATAAAAGAATTTAAATTTTATTTTAAAACGTAAACAACAATTCCCCACCTTGTCAAAACCCGAATAAGCTAATAATAGAAGTCTTGTTGTATTTTTTTCTTCTTTATCTCTTTTGCCGACAACGACGTCGTTCTGACCATCGGCGCCGTTATCCGATGGCGAACCTCCAACAACGAAGATTAGAAAATACTAGTATAAATATCATTCACAATGGCCCCGCTTGGAAAACACAACAGAAAGCGATAGAAAGTTACCGTCACCGTTCTCTCTCACTAACTTTCTATCTCACACGCCATTAACGCATTCAATTTCTATTTTTCTCTCTCACTCTCACACACACACATTAGTGTTAGTGTCGGTTCCCAACTTCGATTCACGCGCACAGTACCGACGCAACATCTCTCTCTCTCTCTCGTGATGGATTTCGACTAGCATTGCGCTGTGAACCCTTGCGAGCTCACTCTCCAACCAGATCGAAGTTCGATTTCTCTTTCTCGCGCCTCGTTTGCTCTCTCTCTTTCAATGTTGCTTTTCAAACTGTTTCTCACTTCGCTCTTTGCTTTGCAGGTTTGTTTTCGCTCTCCGATTTGCAATGACGCCGAGGAGAGGGTTTTCCTTCGCCAAAAGCAGAGACAAGGGCTCCTGCTTCCCCGTTCTCGGTTTCATTCTGCTCTGCGTTCTTGCGCCTGTGGTTTTCTTCCTCGCTCGGGGACTCTACGCTGCTGGTTAGTTCGGTTGCTGTTTTTCTTTTCTTTGTTGATTGTTGTTTTGTGCGTTTGAAGATCTGTGTAGTGAGTAATATTGACTAGTTTAATGTTTTTGAACGGTTTTTGGTTTAATTGTGGTTTTAGTTGGGAAGTTAAGTGTCTGTGGTAGTAGTATTTTGAGTGATTAGTTGGAAGGGCGTGTGTGAGAGGGAGAGGGCTTTGTGAGGGTGAGTGTAATGCTTGGACAAGCGTCTGTTGAGCCGAAAACGATTTTAAATTTGTGAAGAGTGTAGAAACTACAACCGGTGGGCTTAAATGCTTGGAGATGCTGTGAATGAAATTTGTTGGACACGCGTTTGGATAGGATTTCTGGAAGTGTAGTATGTGATTAGAGTGTTAAGTTGGAAGGGCAAGGTCAAAGGGAGAGGGATTTGTCAGAGCGTGAGCGTGGTTTAGATGGTTATCTGTAACGCAGAAAATTACGTTAAATTTGTTAAAGTGTAGATACTACAACTGTTAACATTTTGTTTAGATTCAGAAAATCACGCCAAACATGCAATTAAATGCTTAAGCAGGCATGCTGTGACTGGAATTGGTTGGATACACATTTGAATGGGATTTCTGCAAGTGTAACATGTGGTATGACACGTCTGTAATGCAGAAAACCAGGCTAGATTTTTTAGAATGTGGAAGCTGCAACTGGGGTTGTTTGTTTTAGATGGATTCTAGGATGGGGGGAAGCAGACTCGAGTCTCCCACTAGCAGAAAAGGTTACCACCGACAGATGTGTGGCTTTTTTGATGGAGGGCTGAGATTTTTTTTTTTTTTCATTTTTTTTTGTCTATCCCTGTTTATCCCTTGAAGTTTCTCTTACTTCATATAAGCAACTGAGGTTGTGCATCCACAATGATGTATCTTAAAATCGGTTTGGAAGATAAGGTTTGCATCTACTTATATATTATTATTTGATCATATCTCTTGTGGATGTGAGATTTTCAACACACCCTTTCATGCCAAGGATTAAACATTTCGAGTGTGTGACCAGAGGTGAACTTAATAGTGAGTGATGCAATAGGCTTGACAAACTTGACTAGAACAGGCTTTAAATGAGTGGGACACCATATTATGAAAGTGAAGTTTAAGCCTAATTCAACATCACAAAATCAACTTAGTAAAGTGAGGTTTGAGCCTACCTCTATAGTATTATTTGACCATATAGTTGATGTGAGATTTGCAACATAATTCCAACAACAACAATCACCATGGCAAATATCCATTGCAATCGTCACCAGTAACCTAAACAGAAACCACCACCGATGAGGGGTAGATGGAAAAGGTGGTTGAAACGTTGGGAATAAGAGAAAAAAAAAATAGAAAAGGAAAAAGTGGAAAGGCAGAAAAAATTGTGACCATTTATTAAAAATAAATACGTTATCTAAGGGTCAGGATTTTATTAACCATGGGAGGAGATATGGATGGGTTTCATTCCCTTGCCTTTGCCTTGTTTTTAATTCATTGTTGTGGTGTGGACATTTAGAAGAAGGAAGGGTTTATGTTTTTGTTGCTTTTGAATTCCTAACTTTTTGCCTCATGGTGGTGAAAAGGCAGCCAATTTTTCTTGGACTAGTGAACTATTATATTTGTGCCTATGGTGTCAACAACTTAAGTGCTTTTAGTGTGGTTGAAAGATTCCTTGAAGTTTGTGTCTTGTTCTTGTCCTTCCCCTTTATTCCAAAATTCCTTTATTTTGAGATTGGGCATCTTCAGATTAGGGACTGTAGTGACAGTTGACATGATGGTCATTGAATTTTTTAGTTGTGATTGATGATAGTGTGAATATAAAGGCATGCCCTCTCACTAGAGATGCTTAAAATTTGATCAGTAAAATGTTATGTTGAGATTACTTAATAAGATTGCACATTTATGTGATCCTCATATGGGAATCCATGCAAAGAGGGGCATAATGTTCAGGTTTCAATTTGATAGTTGTGCATGCTTAGTGTTGGCTCTTGTAATGGTACTTTTATTTGGCTTTATGTGATATTTAGTATCACTAGTGAAATGGAAAAAAGTTCATAAATAAGCACTTTCTAGCTGATGTTCTTACTATACATTGCACATTTTTTATAGTGTGTTTGGATACGGCATTTTAAGAAGGTAATTCATTTTTTTTTTAGAGAATTTAAAATGCTTTATGAAAAAATATGTTGTTTGAGTGAGGAATTTTGGAAGAATTTGAAATTCTAGAATTTCATTAGAGTAATTGAATTACTTAAAATTGAAGAATTTTAAATTCCACCTAAAATTTAAGAATTTCAAAATCTTCATATTCTTAAATTTGTATTTTGGTGTTCGTAGTTTGGTTGACCTGGGTGTGGATTGATTCGGCTCAACCCAGGTCTGGTTAGATTTGGCTTAACCTAGCGTGAGATCGACCCAACTTAGTTTGACATGGTCCAAATTCGAACTCCGACCCAACTTGACTTGGCTAAAACCTGACCTAATTTGTCTCTAGCAACTTGTTGTAGACTTGGCCCGAGTTGGAACTATCTGAACTTAATTCGACATGGGCCTAGCCCAACTCAACTGAACATGATCCTGCTAGACTGGGCATGACTTAAACAAGGGTTGACTTGGTTCACTTTGGGCATAGGTTGACTAGGCTTGACCTGGTCTAGACTGACTCAACTTAACTTAGGCTTGACTTGACTTGGTCTTGATCAAGTTAGGCCAAACCTGGTCTTGATCAAGCTAGGCCAAACCTGGTCTTGATCAAGCTAGGCCAAACCTGGTCTTGATCAAACTAGGACCCACTTGGGCCTAGCCCAACTCAACTGAATGTGGTCAACCCTAACTCATGAACGTGGACTTGCTCTAACTCGATTGAAGATGGGATGCCCCAACTTGGACCCAAATTGACTTGGTTCACTTAGGTTCGATTTGGACCTAAATTGACTCGACTTGACTTAGGCCCTGGCTAACTCTACTCAACTTGGGCTTGACTGGTATTTATCAAGCTAGTCTTAACTTGGTCTTGATTGAACTAGGACCTACCTGGTCTAGCCTAACTCAGTGAATATGGATTAACCCCGACTGGGATGAATTTGGACCCACCCTGACTTGACTAAATGTGGGATGCTTGTACTCGACTTGGGCTTAGCTTGTACCCATACTGACTTAGCTCAATTTGGGCTTGACTTGGGCCCAGACTAAACTTAGCATGCTCGGGGGACTTGGCTTAACTTTGACTCGTGTTGCCTCAGTCTGAACTTGCATGAGCTCGATCTGGTGCT